AAAATCAGGAGGATACCTTGGCTGTGAGGAACAAGGGGTCCCCTGTCCCATACCAGGTACCCAGCTCAGGGTTCCAGTGCCAGGAAGAGAAGTCCCCATAACTTCTGGCTGGAAAAACCGGAGAGAACTGAGGCTGAGGGAGGGTGCAGCTGCCAGAGCCCCAGGCAGTTCCTCTTAAAGGGCCTGTGCAGCCCTGACACATTTGGCTCAGTGGTTAGAGCGTTGGCCTGAAGTCCTGAGAGTCCCAGGTTCGGTTACTGCTAAGGGCAAGTACCTTGGTTGCAGTTTGTCCCCGGCCCTGCTTAGGTTGTGCGGGTGGCAGCCACTCGATGTGTCCCTTTCACGTCGATGTTTCTCTCTCTCTCTCTCTCTCCCACTCTGTCTGAACAAAAAAATGGAAAAATGTCCTCGGGTGAGGATAAAATATATATATATAATAACTATTTTATTTTCTGTATTTCGCCTTTGAAGTATTTTGTCACTTTGGTTAAAAAGGTCATAGTGACCTACAATTCTATTTAATCAAGTGTTTTAAAACATTTTGATTTCTGACAACTTCTCAAAAATCAGATCTAGCCCTGGTCGATTTGGCTCAGCTGTTAGAGTGTCGGCCTGCGGTCCGGAGAGGCCTGGGTTTGGTTCCTGCTAAGGGCATGTACCTCAGTTGCAGTCTGTTCTCGGCCCTGGTTGGGTCGTGCGGGTGGCAGCCACTCGGTGTGTCCCTTTCACATCGATGTTTCTCTCTCTCTCTCTCCCTCTCACTCTATCTGAATAAAAAATGGAAAAATGTCCTCAGATGAGGATAAAAAAAAAAATCAGTATCTAAATGAAGTCTTGTTTATCTTGAACTAACTTTGGAATTTTCCAGTGGGTCCCTGGAGCATCTCAAAAGATGTGTTCTCTCTCTCCTCGGAAGCACTGTCAAATAAGAGGTGATGCTAAACTTCTTTAGGGTATATTTGTATTAGATTCCTAAAATTCTGGTATGTCCTGGTATTATATCATCAGTCATAATTTTTTTAAAAATAGTTTTTAAATCTTTAATTTATTATTATTGTTGAAAGTATTACAGATGTCCCCCTTTTTTCTCCATTGACTCCCTCCTGCCTTCCCCAGCCCAATGTCTGTGTTAACTGGTTGTGCATAAATCATATAAAATGTATATCATGCCCTAGCCAGTTTGCTCAGCGGTTAGAGCATCGGCCTGTGGTCCATAGAGACCTGGGTTCAGTTGCCGCTAAGGGCGTGTGCCACAGTTGCAGTTTGTCCCCAGCCCTGGTTGGGTTGTGTGGGTGGTAGCCACTCGGTGTGTCTCTCTTACGTCGATGTTTCTCTCTCTCTCTCTCTCTCTCTCTCTCTCTCTCTCTCGGTGTGTCTCTCTTACGTCGATGTTTCTCTCTCTCTCTCTCTCTCTCTCTCTTCCTCTCTCTCCCTCCTACTCTACCTGAACAAAAAAATGGAAAAATGTCCTCGGGTGAGGATAAAAGAAAAAGAAAAAAACAAAATGTATATTACAGAAATAACCAAAGTTCCTTATCAACTGCATTATAATGAATGTTCAATGAGATCTTGAACCATGACCATTTTTAAGTGTTTTGTTATTTACACTTACTGTTTTACTTTGAAGCTTTTGCAAAAGTGCTTCATCTTTAAGGAGATTCATGGAAAAGACTGACAAGTACAGGTTCCTGATGACTAAGATAAATCAATTTGCCTTCACATGAAAGGGGCAAGCCCAAGAGCTGTGCCTGTAATGGTCCCGTTACACTGATGCTATAATGTTTAGATGTGAAGACTTACTTGCCTCTGCTGCAGGACACTACAGACTTACATCTGTGAGGGAGAGGATAGACAGTGAACCTGCAGAAAATTCAAGGCCTAGGCACCACTGTAGTTTTTGGGAGTTGTTTGGTTGAGTGAGATGTGCCCTGTCCCAGGAGCTGTTATTGATAAGGTACAACCCTATTCAACTCCTAAGAATTAGAAAGAGGTGCAAATCTAGTAGGATTCGGGGGTTTTGAGGACTTTTATTCCTACCTATCACAGTGCCGCTCTCCCTTATACAGCCTGGTGAAGAAAGGGCACATGTGGGACTGGGAATCAGAGTAGCAAGCCACCTTTGAGAAAGCAAAAATACTAGTGAAGCAGTTTAAAAGCTCTGTGCATCTCCCAAGCAGGGCAACCAATTGAATTAGATGGGTCTGTGACTCCAGAAGGTATGGATTTGAGCACTGTGGCAGAGACAACAGAAGGAGAGAGTACTCCTAGGATTTTGGTCCGTTTTGGAAGGGGGCAGAAACCCAATATATACCCCCATAGATCAACAGCTTCTAGCAGTGTGCACAGCTCTCCTCCAGGTAGAGTCTCTCACAAAGGCATATCATGGTAAAAACTTCCTTTCCTATCAACTGGTGGGTTTTGAGAATACATTCCAACGATTCATCTCTGCCATGGCTCAAACCCCCACTGTGACTAAGTGGCACACCTCCTTTACTGCAGAGAAACACTGTGTCTGCCATCCCAATGTCTCTAGAAATAAATGCGGGTGCTACTCTGGAGAGCAGGGGTGGGGAACCTTTTTTCTGCCAAGGGCCGTTTGGATATTTGGATAATTCGCGAGCCACAGAAAATTATCAACTTAAAAATTAGCCTGCTAGCCCCTGGCCAGTTTGGCTCAGCGGTTACAGCGTCGGCCTGCGGTCCGGAGAGACCAGGGTTCGGTTCCCGCTAAGGGCACGTACTTCGGTTGCAGTTTGTCCCCGGCCCTGGTTGGTCGTGCGGGTGGCAGCCACTCGATGTGTCCCTTCACGTCGATGTTTCTCTCTGTCTCTCCCTTCCTCTCTCTCCCTCCCACTCTATCTGTACAAAAAATTGTTTTTATCCTCGGGTGAGGATAAAAAAAAAAAAAAAATTAGCCTGCTAGCATATATGCATAACCAATGGGCACAGACAACAAGTGTGTGTGTGTGTGTGTGTCTGTGTGTGTGTGTTGGGGGGGTGCCGGGAGCAGGGAGGAAGGAGTCAATGGGGGAAAAAGGAGAAACATCTGTAACAAAAATTAATTAAAAAAACAAAACAAAATTAGTCTGCTATATTTGATCAAGCTAATTTGGTGAGGCTTATGATGTTAGCTGGTATTGATTCTGTGGGCCTTATATGGTTGCTGGCCAAATATTCCCCACCCCTGCTGTAGATCCTCCAAATGCTTCCACCACTGTTCCTATAGTGGCCCCTGAGGCTATAGTGAGAGAAGGAATAAAATTCCTGCTGATGCCTGGTATACAGGTGCCTGGAAACAGGAAAAAACATAGCAGCCACAAGCCAAACTCAGAGCAGCCTGGCTAGTCATCGAACCCAGGTAAGGTCCCTATACAAACTTCCAAGATTCTGGTGGGCAGGTTGAAAATCTACTCATCGTGCAGCCACTTAAGAAAAGCCTCTTGCCCAGCTGGTGTGGCTCAGTGGTTGAGTGTCGACCCAAGCACCAAGAGGTTGCCAGTTCGATCCCTGGTCAGGACATATACCCAGGTTGTGGGCCAAATCCCCGGTGGGGGGCAGGCAGGAGGAGGCCAATCCATGTTCTCTCTCACTGATGTTTCCATCTCTTTCCCTCTCCCTTCCTTTCTCCGGACCGCAGGCCGACCCTCTAACCGCTGAGCCAAACTGGCCAGGGCTCCCTTCCTTTCTCTAAAATCAATAAAGAAATAAATTTTTTTTTTAAAAGAAAAGCCTTTTAAGTCAGTTTCCTTGCCTATTAAACCTGCCAACTACTAAATTGGAGTGTTCTGCCTTTCTTTGGTCTTTCCTTGTCCTCTGTATCCAGGGGCCAATTTTCAAACTAACAGACCACTCCTGTCTCACATGTTTCTGCCTCCTATAATTCTTTCCATTTTGTAACAAGGTTCTAAGTAATCTGACTCCTGTTTACCTTTTCTTGATAAGCCCCTGCTTCCTCCCTGCACCTTAAATTCCCAGAACAGGCCAACCTCTTTCTTATCATACAACCTACCTTTGATTACACTTCCCTCAGCCTAAGAAGCTCTTTTCCTGCCTTAAAAAATTCCTCCATGCCCATCTCACAAATTGATCAGATTGGTGATGATCTAAATGACATCTTTTATGAAGTCTTTCCCACTCATTTCACCAGGCAGGGATGACTATACCATAGATGTAGTTCTCTTATAACATTAAACATTGTACTTGCATCTCTTTATATGTTTCAAACACATATAAAAAGGGTTTCACCCCTTCTGTCTCCTATTCCTCCTACCATCCATCTAGTCATCAGATGTGTCAATTCTACCATAGAAGTGTCTCAAATCCACCTACTCCAAAACTATCCCATTGCCCATATGAAATCACCCAGATTATTTCAATAGCTTTCTATCAATTAGTTGTACTACTTCCAGCTCTCCGATTCATTCAACAATTATTGATACTAATCTTGTCATTTTGCTAGGTCCTTGGATTACAAAAAATAATACATGGGCCATACCCTTAAATAAACTGGATTTCCAACAGGATGAGATAAGTACTGTATCATGCGCCAGTAAAAGAATGCCACAGAAGGACCTAACCTAGTCTTGGGGGGTGGGTAAGCAGAGAAGGTTTCCAGGAGGAAGTGAAGCCTCAAGTATATGTAGGAGTTATTCAGAATGCAGAACAATGTATTTCAGCAAAGGGATATAAGGAACAAAGGCCCAGAGTTAGGAAGTTAAGAAAGGGAATAAAAACTAATCCAATTCCTAAAATCTATAGTCTTTCTTTCATATTGCTATTCAATATGAAAAGTAAATATGGAAATCTAATACTCTGCCAAAAGATAAGCCTAAATTCCTCTTAGGCACAGCAACTTGGGCTCTTCATAATCTGGCTAGAATCTGTCTTAGTCCTCTTTCTACATAAACACATGCTCCCTCTTTATATAGTTTGTTTTACACAGCACCATTTGAAATAATTTGATATTATAGCACATGCAGAGTCTATATGAGAATACTCACCTATAAGAGGGGCGCCGTGCTAGGATCCCGTGGGCTTTCTGTGAGGAGCCTATACTATCAGATGAATCCTGAGATTCTTCACTTTCTGATAAAGATGATACCTAAAAAATGGAACTCATTTTACTATGATGAACATTGCAGGTTGAAAATAATTTAATTTTTACTTTCAGAAAAAATGATCTGCCGCCTACCACCCAAATTTACTTGTCATTAAATCTAGGGTCTAAAAGAAACAAAAGGAAGTGGAAAAAGGAGAAAGTTTATTTCAGGAGGCCAAAGTAATTGGAACATATAGTACAACTGGCTCAGAACTGAGAAGAAAGTCTATCCCCAAAATAAAGCAATTCTAGTTCACTAGAGTTGTAAAGACCAATCTCTGATTTCTACCCTATTTCTATACTGATGCACATTATTCCAAGTTTTTAAAAAATCATTAATGCCAAATGACTTGGATTTTGGACATGCTAACTTTGAAATACTATTAGATATCCAACTAATATCTCATTATTAGATAATGACATTGAGGAGATTGCTGACTATGCAAGTGTGTGAGTCAGAGGAAAAGTCTGGACTACATATAAATTTGGGAGGCATAGCTCTTTAAATAGTCCTTAAAACCTTTAAGACTGAATGAGCTCAATCATGGGAAAAATACAGAGAAGAGGACAAAGAACAAAACCCAAGAACACTAACATTAAGATGTTGGAAAGAAGGGGAGGAACCAGTAAATTAAACTAATAACAAGCCACCGTTGAGGCAGGAGAAATAACAAATGAGTCAGGTATTCTTGGAAAAGTAGAGAAAACAATGTATGAAGGAGAAAGGAATGATCAATCATGTCAAATGGTGCTAACAGGTAAAGTAAAACAAGGACTGAAAACACCATTAGATTTAGCAAGGTAGAGGTCACTGGTAAGGGCAGGTATAAACATATGCTACTTAAAAATCTGTAATAACTTTATCTCACTAAACAGTTAAATGAGCTGATACATGTAAAGCACTTAGTGCATGGCACATGGCAAGCACACATTAAATGTTAACTGTTATTAATAACAAACCCTTGAAAACTATGTCAACACAATAACCATATGCAAGTTTTAAGTTATAATACCTTCCAATTAAAAAAACATGCCCTGGCCAGTTTGGCTCAATGGTTAGAGCATCGGCCTGCAGTCTGGAGAGACCCGGGTTCGGTTCCCCTAAGGGCATGTACCTCGGTTGCAGTTTGTCCCCGGCCCTGGTTGGGTGGTGTGGGTGGCAACCACTCGATGTGTCCCTTTCATGTCGATATTTCTCTCTCTCTCCCTCCCTCCCACTTTATCTGAACAAAATATCGAAAAATGTCCTCCAGTGAAGATTAAAAAGAAAAAAAAAACCCCAAAAAAGTTATTTTCCATTTTTAAAATGTATTAAATTTCCCAACACTTGTCCAAATTTGCACTGTTATACCTGACTTCACCTTCATTTTAAAAAATAAAATAATCCAAACAGGCTTCTAGAAAGGACTTAACAAATACAATATCTGCATTACTATTGCTATCTATAGAAAGTCTTCCCCTAACTATTTAGACTTAGATCTAAATTTTCAGAGAAGCTTGTTTTACATTCTGTAATCTTCAAAAACAAGTTCTAGTGCACAACTACTTATTTATATCTAACACTGAATTTTATTTTTTTTAATAGAAAAGAAAGAACTGGTCACAACCTATAATAATTAAGAACTAAGAATAACAAAGTAATAATTAAGAAAAATCTGTCACTTTTCTGTTTCCTTAAGTATCATGGATATACCATTTCTAAATCTTTGTTTTCACCATCTCTAAATTTACTCCAAAACCTCCCACTGAACTCAAGTAGGAAAATAATTTCTAAGATATTACTTATAATTAAGATCAAGTATTTCTCTTTAATAACAGCAGCAAATAAGAGTAAAACCTTCATACAAAAACTCCAAAATCCATGCAACAGCCACCTTTGATGCAGGAAAACCACATAAAAATGCAGCTCTAGAACTGACAACATTGCCAGATGCTATAGATTCAGGAGGAAAATGAGCTTTTCTTCTAGTGCAGCTGCTTCTAAAAATGAGAGATGTCCAAAGGCATTATGAGACTCACAGGAGCCAGAAGATAAAATAGGGAGAAAGAGTAAGAAGAAAAAGAGCCCAGGATGGCTCTTTCCTTCCTATTGTTGTCAGGTGTTAATATGAAGGTAGATAGATATAAGAACTTTCCTCTACTATGAGAGAACTTTCTTTTATTTGACCTCCATAAAGCATAAAGTAGGCACTTTCTTACTTTGCTAAAACGAGCGCTCACATTATCGCCCTTGCTTCTGAATTATCTTTTTTGTGGATAGATACCACTGAGATAAAAAAAGGTGCCTTCCCTTAAGAAAGTCATTTCCTTAAGTTCTAAGCAATAATTTCCCCCAAATTATCTTCTATTTTCACTGAGTAGTATATACATGAAACTAGAAATTCTAAAACTTTTCATTTGTTCTACAGTCTAATTTCCATGACAACTTTATTCTCTTGGTTTATAATATAGTAACTATAGCAACTTCAATGTGTCTGAAGATTCTGGGTATAAAAGTCCCCTCTCTCAACCACTAAGTCTTTGAATTTCTGTACCGTTTGCACGTGTGGTGGGTGAATTACAGAAGACTGAGCTGTCTGGATGACCCCCTGAACCTGTACTTGCTCTCCAGGAAGAGGTACAACTGTCATTGGCGCAGATCCTCTTAGTGACATCTAAGAACAAATAAAAATTCAATTAACAAAATATATATTGTACCTATGAACAAAAGATAGCCGAGTTCTTAACACTGGAAAACATATTTGAGAGCTTATTATATTTAACCACATCTATTAACCGAACATTAAGTATCTTCTATATGTTGGAGACTGCACTAGGGGAGTAAGAGTACAAACTAATTACAACAAACAGTATAAGAAATAAAGAGTACTATATGTCGGAGCAAAGAAAGGATGCTACTTCAGCTGTATCTTGAAGGATAAACAATTCCCTGAAGGTGTGCATGGTGGAGGGCATTGGAAGATTATTTTGGGCAGAGGAATTGATTGCAAAAACACGGAGGCTTCTTTAGAGCATATTATTCTGAAGAGATCTGTTTGTAAACCAATTGAGTCAAAAGTGAAAGAAATACCAACTTTGGGCAGTGTCTTTAAAGAAAAATAAAATATTTCAAGCAAATAATTGAATCATGAGATTATAATATATTTCTGGGGAAATGAAAGGTAGTTTCAAGAAAATACCACAATAAAATGCTAAACCAAGAAAAGCCCATCCATTACCCCTCAAGGCTTTCTCAGATATATTCCTCTTTCAAGAAGCTTTCTCAGATATTTCAGTTAACAGAGATCTCTCGCCTTCCTCCAGACTACTCTGGTTCATACCATTCACCTTGGACTTATCACAAAAAACTCAAGTTGCTTCTCAGGTCCTGAAAGTCACCTTCTTGACTGTTTCCCTGTTTGTATCAGGTCCCCAAAATGTGCCGTATTCCCTTTCATTAAAGGTTCTTTTCCCTTTCCAGGACTGGATTAAATTTCAGTCTATCATTCCCTCAAAATGCCCAAGTCATTTTGAATATAAAATTTTATCCAGCTACTGAGAAATGTAAGTTCTTAGCACAAACGACTCCATCCAACACCCACCCCAACACACGCAATAAGGACATGACCAAATTCTACACAACATCTATCAGCTTAAGGCCATGTCCCTAGGATGACACCAGCCCCCTTAAATGACATGCCTGAGAAAGTTCAGTGCTGCCCAAAGAATTTACTGTTTGAGCACGATGGGGGTCAAAGTGGGGAGGAAGGGGTCAATGGAGGAAAAAAGAGAGGACATCTGCAATACTTTCAACAATAAAGATAAAAAAAAGAATTTACTTTTTGTTCCAGCCAAAACCTGACTATTAGGCCCCTGACCTCATTTTTCTTAGAGCATTTACTTTAGAAAACTTGCAGTTGTAAATCCTTTCTCTGACTCTTAAGATATAATTCTTCTACAACCCAAAATATCTTTCTCAAGGACTTGGGAACCATCCCTTGAAATGTAATCACCAAGAACGATAGGGCCCTTGCTCCATCTCTGTAGAAGGGTAGGAGTCTAATTTTGATAAGCATTGATTAGTAAAACAGATGGCTTAATCATAATGACCAACTTCCCTACCTAACATCTTCAGTACTTTTCCTTTAGGACACCTTCAGTGTTTAAAAAGGCTCCCACCTTTTGATTCGGCAGAATTCAGCTCAATTTATGCTGGAGTCTCTCTTCCCTAAGTACACTGGTCTAAATGAAATCTGTCTTGCTTTCTTTAACAAGTGTCCAGCTTTGTTTCTCTTTGACAGTACCCAATAAGGGGCTACAGAAACTAAAGGGTAAAAATAAACTGAGAATTCACAAATCTTAAGAGTCCAGATCTAGAATTACCATTACACTCAGAGAAAATAAATGAAAAGCCCCCTCACCTTTCAGACTCCAACTTAAGCCACTCACTCATCTACTGGAGATATCCTTAGTGGAATTAATTTGCATTTCTAGAAGAATAAATGCAATTATTCTTCCAGGGTGTCTGGCAATTCTAGTGGTTTTATGCAGCCTGTGGGTCTGGCAGGTAGAAAGGAGAGAAAGCACCAGATTTTGTTTTAGCTTGTATTTGTCCTTCCCCCTTATTATCACTGTTCTAACCTCACAAAACACAAACCGCTCATTACTCAAGTTTCCAAAGCCTGATGTCTTCCTACCCCCTCTTCTCAAACTTGATCATCTAAATCCTGAGGTCTTTCTCAAAGGAGGAAAAGAAAAGGCTAGTCTTCCAATTTTAACCTGAAGATGAAACATAGATGACTGCCTCCACTCATCACTTTTCAGCACTAACAGAGCTTTCTGCAATGATGAAAATGTTTTATGTTCTATGTACTATCCAATATGGTAGTCAATAGCCACATGTGAGTATCAAGCATTTTAAATGTAGCTAGTGTGTCTGAAGGACTGATTTATTTTATTTTATTTAAAAAATGTGTTCTGAGAGAGAGAGAAACACTGATCAGCTGCCTCCCGCATGTGCCCCGGGAATCGAACCCCCAACCTGAGTATGTGCCCTGACCGGGAATCAAACCTGCAACCTTTTGGTGTACGTACAACGCTCCAACCGAGCCACATCGGCCAGGGCTAATTTATTTAATTTAAAGTAATTAAAATTAAAATGGAAATATCCACTTGTGGCTAGTGGCTGTCATATTGAACAGTGCAGCTCTACATCTTAGAATGCAGAACCTGCTAGTACACTATGGCTCCAAACTCAGAACCTCTCTTAGGAGATTTTAGATGATGGAAAAAAATATTTTTTCTGGAGCTGCTCTGGTTAAACTGGGAGCTGCAGGACTTAAAGCCTCCTGGTTTCCTCTCATTACATGGGGTTAGCTGAGTGCAAAGTTCTTATACAAGTAAGTAGGCAAAAATTAGCGTACTCCTTAGCTACCTAATTAGGAGATTCCTGGACACTTGGATAAGGGAAGGTGGGAGTTAGGAGAGTGGCATGGAAAAAAAGCCTATTTGGCTAGAGTTTGAATCCAAAGTCTTCCAACTCCAGACAGGCACACAGGCTTAGGAGTCAGACCGGTCTGGGCTGATTTTCAGCTAAAGGCCCTCAGTAGCTCTGTGATGCTAAGCAAATTACTTAACCTCTAAGGACCTCAGTTTCCTCCTTTGTAAAAAGAACTAATACTATTTTTTTCACAGAGTTATAGTAAAGATTAAATCAGTAACAAGTTAAAAACAAAAGGTAGGGAAAAAAGGTTAAGAGAAGCAGCCTACATATATGTCTCTTATTTGGATCCTGGTTCAAAGTTAAATATGTGCAAAGAAATAACAATCATAGAATTTTTAAAATACTGATGAAACCCTGGCCGGTTTGGTTCAGTGGTTAAAGCATCAGCCTGCAGACCAGAGAGTCCTGGGTTTGGTTCCCGCTAGAGGCACGTACCAAAAAAAAAAAAAAAAAATACTGATGAGTATTTGATGATTAAAAATAATGTTTAGGTATGATAACTGTATTGTGGTTATATTCTTTAAAGGAGTCCTTATATTGAAGAGATACAATAAATTGAAATATTGAAGGCTAAAATAATGATATCTAGGATTCGCTTCAATATAAATCCAGTTGGTTGGGGGTTGGGGGGAATAAGAAGCCATGAGTTAATAATTGCTGAAACAGGGTGATGGGAACCATGACGGTTCAACTTAATAATCTCTTTTCCTGACTATGTTTGAAATTTTCCATAATAAGTGCTTTTCAAAACCTAGCACAAGAGTGAACACAACTGTGGTTAGTCCTGTCCTGTCCTGTCTGGCTCAAGCCCAGTGCTCTTTCCAAGACATCTTATCTCTCTTGGTGCCAGTCAAGTTTTTCAACCTCTTAGTCTATATGTTCTCAATTTGCTTCCTACACAGCAAGTTGATTTGTTTTGCTTTTTCGTTTCAAGGGAAAAAAATTTAAAAAGTACAGATTATTTTGACATTTGGAATAATGATTGTTAATTCCTACAGTACCAACTGTGGCAAACCCTTAAGCCCAGAGTATCTGCTCAATTCTTTAAAAAAAATTTTTTTCTTTATTATTTTTTTAGAGAGAGGAAGGGAGAGGGAGATTGAGATAGAAACATCAATGAGAAAGAATATTGACTGGCCACCGCCTGCACACCCCCAACTGGAGTTTGGGCTCACAACCTGGGCATGGAATCAAACTGGTGACCTCTTGGTGCATGGGATGATGTTCAAACACTGAGCCACACTGGCTGGGCATATTTGCTTAGTTCTAATGAATTAGAGCCATTAATTCAAAATACAAATAAAAAATAAAATGAACCCAGTTTTTACATATTTTAGTTTATTTAAGGTAAAGGTAATTTAAAATAATTTTGTGGTTTTAAGTGTTTTTCCATAGTTAAGTCTATGCTGTACTTGCCCTAAAATATCCCTCTTCCTAGGTCTCAAAAGATTCAAAAGACTCTTAGACAGCCAGATGTTTACATAGTAAACACTTAAAACTGACTGGAGTAAAGAACTCACATGCAACGGCATGCTTTCAGAAGAATCTCAAATCCATGTTATACCCTAAACAATTACTTATTTACTAGTTTTCTTTAAAGTATCTCCTTTTGTAAATTCAAATGTACTTAAAGGAAAGCCTTATTTACTATGATAAAAACCAGTACCACCTGCCATAACTATATGGCAAACTATAAAAATAATGAAAGAAAAAATGTTATTAAATATTGTATTTTTAGCCCAACCAGTGTGGCTCAGTGGTTGAGGGTTGACCTATGCACCAAGAGGTCACTGGTTCAATTCCCATGCAGGGCACATGTCCAGGTTGTGGGCCAAATCCCCAGTGGGGGGCATGCAGGAGGCCACCAGTTGATGTTCTCTCTCATCAATGTTTCTATCTCTCTCTCCCTCTCCATTCCTCTCTAAAATCAATAAAAAAATTTTTTTAATATTGTATTTTTAATTTCAAAACCAATAATCTAAAAAGTCTTACCATGGTTTACACAAAGTCGTGCACAGAATGGCTACTTCCTCTCTCCCGCCTCATCTCAAACCATGTTCCCTAGTTCTGCCCACAGTGGACACTGATAGTCCCTTCTACTTTTTATGCTCTTTAGACCACAGGTCTTTGGCATAAGATATTCCCTCACATGTCTAGAAAGGTCTTCCCTTCCTTCCTGGAAAGGTTAACACCTACTCATCCTTCAGATCACAACTCAAGCATCACTTCTTTAGCAAAGCTGTCCCATTCCCAACAAAGTCAAATTCTCTATTATAGTCTCTTGTACTGACCTATGTATTCTATGTACAATCCCTTGTAGCATTCTCAGAGTCAGTTTCACATCTTGGTGAATATCTGGCCTGTGTCTTGTCTCCTCCACTACATAGCAAACACCATGAAGGAGAGGACCTTGCCTCTTTTTGCTCTACACTGTATTCCCAGCTAGAGTCTTAACCCAACTGGCATATTAGATCCTACATAAAGCATTGTTTAGTGAATTAATGAAATATCTCCCAATTTTGGACATTATAATTTAGTAAAGTTATTCCTATAATTTCTCCTAGGTATATCTTTGACTTTTTCTAACTTGAATTCTGTATTTCCTCACTTTAGGGCACTTGACCAATTTTCTTATTTCCAGCCAAGAAACAATAAGGGGTAAGGCACAGGAAATAATGCCAACCTTCCCTGATTCCTCAGGCCACCATGGCCAGGGAGAAATTTTTTCTGCTCTTAGTTTTAGTAGGCCCATTCTCATTGTTGATAACCCTTCTCTTTCCAGCCAATTTCCTAACTTTCAAACAAGAGATCTGATGTCTTTGAATTCACAATAAAAATAGAAATGCTCATCCTTGCATTCATTACCTAAAGAGATCTGGAATACCACCAGTGGTGGGGAATGTGTACCACATTTTGAGAAATACTACTCTAGAAAATTGGACTGGGGGTGGGTTAAATAAGCAAATCTAAGCAATATTATCTTTTGAATATAAAGACTAAGATTCTGGATTAAACAGATAACAAGACTCAATAAATGTTAACCAGGTGCCATGACAGACCTTCAAGATTATAAAACAAACAAACCAGACAACAGCCATAGTTACTGCCTCCAGAGCCAATCACAAAGAGACAAAGAGTTTAAAATATACTGTTTAAAATATACATATGCCTTAATATATGGCATTTATTTGTTCTTAAAAGCCTGGCTGGAAAGCAAAATTTAACACCAAACAAATGTTTGAAAGAGAGTGAGTGAGTGTGTGTGTATGTAAAGAGAGTGGAGATATGTGTGGCAAAAGTAAAAGAATAAAACCATCTAGTTTTTTGTCATCTAGAAAAAATAATGGGAAATTAGAAATAGGGAGAGGGTGGGACAAAAAGGAGATATACTGTTACATCCTTCTGGTTGAGAGACAATTTTCTATGGGTGTTTCTGTGAATATTCTGAGCAGAGGCATTGACAACTTTTGTTCTGGATTATTTTTTCAGGATGTTGATGTGGTGAATGGCTTTGGAAGACAAATTAGAGCTCCCTTCAAGACAAAGGGCAGATTTGTTTGCTGTCCAGAATAATAAAGGTAATGTGTTCCTCAAAGGCAAAGGTTAGAAAGTTTTGCTAGCAGTTCTCTTTAGAAGTTTGATGTTTCTGCTTGGCCAGTGTGGCTCAGTGGATTGAGCAGTCACCTCATGGACTTAGAGGTCCCAGTTCAATTCCCGGTCAGGTCACATGGCCAGGTTGCAGGCTCGATCCCCAGTAGGGAATGCGCAGGAGGCAGCCGATCAATGTATCTCTCTCACATTGATGTTTCTATCTCTCTCTCTCTAAAATAATCAATGAAAATAAAAATAAAAGTTTGGTGTTTCCTAAGCTTGGAGTCCCACTCAGCAATGATGCGAACTCACTACAAGTAGTAATGCATCCACCTGAGCCACTCTGCATTACCCTATGGAACTTGGAGGGAAAGAGGAACTAAGCGAACATGAAGCTCATGCTGTTTGCTGTGGTACAAGTTATAAAGTCCTTTTTCTCTGAATCAGGATTCTCACGTCTTCTGCCAGCATCCACGAAACTGAGGCAATCTATCTTATTAGCTTGCAGGCAGGATAGTCTGAGATCCTTCATATTTATTGACACTTCTCTGTCCTCTGCTTTATTTACACAATATTCTAAAGATTTTAGGTTCTAAATCACCAAAAATCTGAGCTAGAGCAAGAACAAATAAAGAGTAAACAGAATAGCCTATCAAAGCAGTCCTGAATTGCTCTTGAGAGAGGGGTACCTGATAGGAGACCCCTATTAACTGGGGCTTGCAAAGGGCCACACATTCAGGGTAAGATAACAGAAAGTTAGTTGTGTGGGTATGGAGGAGGGAAGGGCTGAAGAAGCTAGCTCTCCAACAGATTTATAGCACAACTCAACATCACCATGGTCCAAAAAGACAAGAGCCTCAAACCCTAAAGTAGTTTCCTAGGCACCAGGCACCAGTAAATTCTTTTGGGAGAAAGGCACTCTCATCCTTGGCCACAAATAATTCCATTTCGATTTTTCAAGATTAATGGGCAGCCAAGAATAAAAAATAACCACCATGCGCAAGAAGCAGAAACAATAGACAGCGGAATCAGACCCAGGTGATTTTAGATACTGACAAGAGAAAAAAGATTATAAAACAATTATGCTTACTATGTTCATAAAGAAATAGTAGATTCTGGTTTAAGACAAGAATTTTTTCTTTATTGATTTTAGAGAGAGAGGAAGGGAGAAGGAGAGAGAGAGAGAGAGAGAGAGAGAGAAGCATCGATGAGAGAGAACATCGACTGGCCACTTCCTGCATGTCTCCCACTGGGGACTGGGCCCACGACCTGGGCATGCATCCTGAGTGGGAACTGAGCCAGCAAACTCTTGGTGCATGGACTGACGCTCAACCACTGAGCCATACCAGCCAGACAAGACAAGATTTAAAATATCTCCAGGAAACAGAAAACTGCAATAGATTTAAAAAAGAATCAAACAGATTTTATATAAATAAAGACATAATCCTTGAAAAAATTTTAAAATCACGTTTCAGATATACCAGCAAATTAGACAAAGCTAATGTGAGAATTAGTGAGGTGGATGACAGGTAAGAAGAAATTACCTGAACTGCAACATAGGGAGACAAACAGATGGAAAACATATGATAAGTTAAGAGACAGAGGACAAAGTGAGAAGGACAAAGAGTGGGCCAGGGGCAAAATGTGAAGAGATAGATAATGGCTGAACATGTTATATAAATAATGATAGATACCAATTCATACATTCAAGAAACCTAATAACTCCCATGTGGAATAAATTTAAAAATACCACACCTAAATGTAACATAATGGAAGCTGTAAAACTAAAGAGAAGACTATAAAAGCAATGGAAGGAAAAAAGACTGATTATATTTAAAATAGCAATAGTCCACTCACTTCTCAAAGGCAACAATGAAAAACAGAAGCCAGCAGAATATTTTAAACATGTTTAAAAAATAACCTAGGATCCTATGCTCAGTGAAAATACCTTTTATTGACTTACTTTTTAAATGATTTTTAGAGAGAGGGAGAGAGAGAGAGAAAAACACTGATGTGTGAGTGCAACGTCAATCAGTTGCCTCCTGCATGCCCCCTACTGGGAATGGACCCCCACAATCAAGGCATGTGCCCTGACTGGGAACCAAACCAGTCACCTTTCAATGCATGGGAGGATACCCAATCAACTGAGCCACACTGGCCAGGGCAAAAATACCTTTTAAAAACGAGGATAAAATAGGTATTTTCAACAAACAAAAACAGGTAAGTTGCCCTGGGCGGTTTGGCTCAGTGGTTGGAGCGTCGGCCCGCGGACCAGGTTCGGTTCCTGCTAAGAGCATGTACCTCGGTTGCAGTTTGTCCCCGGCCCTGGTTGGGGTCGTGTGGGTGAAACATCTCTCACATAGAAGTTTCTCTCTCTTCTACCTCTCCCCTTCCTGCTCTGTCTGAAGATAAATGCAAACAAACAAATAAAAACAGGTAAGTCACTGCTATTGGAAGACTTACATCAAAGCAAATTCTAAAGTAGTGATTCTCAGCCAGTAATGATTTTGCCCCCAACCCCACATCTGGCAACATCTGGGGACATACAGGTTATCACAATGGTGGTGTGGGTGTGGGTGTGGGTGTGGGTGTGGTCCTTACATTTAGTGGCAGAGGCCAGGAATGCTGCTGGACAACCCACAATGGAGTCAGTTCCCCACAACAAAAAATTAACCAGCCCAAAATGTCTATAATGCTGAGGTTTCTCTAAAACACATACTTACGGTAAAAGAAAAGTAATCTCAAACAGAAGCTTAGACATGTAAAAAGGAATGAAGAGCAATACAAGTGATAAATATGCAGGGAAAAAAAGCAATGCTGACTGCATAAAATAATTATGATGTTTTATGGGATTAAAAGAGAAAAAGATAAAATTAAGTCCTAACAGTCTTCGAGGAGTGTTGCTGTGGTTTCCTGCTTCAACAGTGCTTGGATGGAACTTGGTGCTCAACCCATCCCAGCCAGTCACCCAGATCCAGCCTTCCGCCACCTTCTCACAGCACCCACAGCCCCAAGGCCCTCCAGCTCCAGCGCCATGCAGCCGCTGCTCCTTAGCCATCCATCATGACATCCACTGTGTCCACCTCACAGGTGTGCCAGAACTACCTCTAGGACTAGGAGGCCACCATCAACTGCCAGATCAATCTGGAGCTCTATGCTTCTTCCTACCTGTCCATGTCTTACTACTTTGACTGCAATAATGTGGCTTTGAAGAACTTTGCCAGTTACTTTCTTCACCAATCTCATGAGGAGAGGGAACATGCTGAGAAAATAATGAAACTGCAGAACCATTGAGTTGGCTAAATCTTCTTCCAGAATATAAGAAACCAGACCTTGACGACTGGGACAAGGGGCTAAATGCAATGGAACTTGGAAAAAGTATGAATCGCTACTGGATTTGTACAAACTGGCCACTGACAAAAATGACCCTCACTTGTGTGTAATCAACTTGTGCAGGTTGGGGACCCCTGAAATGGGCAAGGCTGAGTATCTCTTTGACAAGCATACCCTGGGAGACAGTGATGAGAGCTAATCCTTAGGCTGGCTTCCCATAGCCATGGGGGTGACTTCCCTGTCACCAAAGCAGTACGTGCATGTTGGAGCACCTTTACCTTTTCTATAACTTATACCAAACCATTCACTTACATCTTTTCATGTGTACCATTCCTTCAAATAAAGTAATTTACACCTCCCCCCAAATTAAGTCCTAACAATAGTAACAACTTAGTTCCAAGGTCACTGGATCATCTGAGAGAACAGTAAAAGTATTGAATAACTTTAGACATGACTAAGTAGACATGCTATAATTGGGATAATTACTGAAAAAGTAGTAATCCAGTTTATATACAGTCCAAATTAATATAAGTGATGGTGGGATAACATGAGAAGAAATAATTCAAAAGAAGACAAGGAGAGAACACGTGGGCCAAAAAGCACAAAATAAAGATGGTAGGTCTAAACCATAAATATATATATATGGTGTATACACACACACACACACACACACACACACGTATCAGTAAAAGTCTAGATGATACAATGAAATACTATGGTCTAATTTCAGGTTGGTCTAATTTAAAAGAAGACAAGGAGAGAACACGTGAGCCAAAAAGCACAAAATAAAGATGGTAGGTCTAAACCATATATCAGTTAACAGTCTAGATGATACAATGAAATAATATGGTCTAAACTCTCTCTCTCTCTCTCTCTCTCTCTCTCTATATATATATATATATATGGTGTGCATATATATATCAGTAAAAGTCTAGATGATACAATGAAATACTACTTAGCCATAAAAAAGAATGAAATCTTGCCACTGCAACAACATGGATGGCCCTTGAGGGCATTATGCTAAGTGCAATAGGCCAGAAAACAATAAATACCATATGATTTCGATTGTTGGTTGCTAGAGGTGGGGGTTTGCGGGTGGGCAAAATGAGTGAAGGCGGTCAAAAGATACAAACTTCAAGTTATAAAATAAATAAATCATAGGGATATAATATACAGTGTGGTGAATATAGTTAATAATACTGGGTTGTGCCTGCCGGTTTGGCTCAGCGATTAGAACGTCGGCCTGTGGTCCAGAGAGACCTGGGTTCTGTTCCCACTAAGTTGCAGTTTGTCCCTGGTCCTGGTTGGGTCGGGTGGGAGGCAGCCAGTCTATGTGTCCCTTTCACATCAATGTTTCGCTTTCTCTCTCTTCCTCTCTCTACCTCCCACTCTATCTGAACAAAAAAATGGAAAAATATCCTTGGGTGAGGATAAAAAAATACTGGGTTGCATATTTGAAAGTAGCTAATAAAGTAAATCTTAGAAGTCTTCACCACAAGAAAAAAGTTATTTTTTTTAAAAAAACTAGGTATGCTGATAGATGTTAACAAGAGATTATCGTAATGATCATTTCACAATGAATACAGATATTGAATCAAGTTGTACACCTGAAACTAACATTGTATGTCAATTATACTGTCAAGAAAACAAAACAAAACTGCAATGAGCTACTGTTACATATCCACCAAAATGGTTATAAGTTAAAGGAATTCACAATACCAATTTTGGGCACTTAATGAATCAACAACAGTGCTCTCATACACTTCTGGTGGTGGTGTAAACTGGTAAAAGTTTGTAAAATTGTTGGCAACGTCTTTCATAAGTGAACATTTGCATACCCTATGACCAAGCAGTTCATGTGCAGCACAGACATGTACAAGAATATTCATTAAGCCTGGAAGGTGTGGCTCAGTGGACTGTCATTCCTTGGATTGAGAGGTTCTGGTTCAATTCCCAGTCAGGGCACATGCCTGGGTTGTGGACTTGATCCCCAGTAGAGGATGTGTGGGAGGCAGCCAATAAATGTTTCACTCTCACATTGTTGTTTCTATCTCTCTCCACCTTCCTTTCTAAAAAAACAAAAATCAAAAACCAATAAAAACATATTTTTAAAGAATGTTCATTAGGACTTAGGACTTCTGGTCAAGATGGTGGCGTAGGTAAATGCGGTATCATGTCCTCCTACAACCACACCAAAGTTACAACTAAACTACAGAACAACCATCATTCAAAACCACTTGAAATCAAGCTGAATGAAAGTCTTACAACTGCCCTGGCTGGTTTGGCTCAGCGGTTAGAGCGTCAGCCTGTGGTCCAGAGAGACCCGGGTTTGGTTCCTGCTAAGAGCATGTACGTCGGCTGCAGTTTGTCACGGGCCTTGGTTGGGTCATGCGGGTGGCAGCCACTCGATGTATACCTTTCACGTCGATGTTTCTCCTCTCTCTCTCTCTCTCTCTCTCTCCCCCCCTCCCTCCTGCTCTATCTAAACAAAAAATAAAAAAATGTCCTTGGGTGAGGATAAAAAGAAAAAAGTCCTACAACTACGGAATTAAAGAAGCAACCACATAGAGACTGTTAGGAGGGGTGGAGGTGGAGGGGCTGGTCTCACACCCACGGGTGGTGGATAAAAATCAGGAGGTACCTTGGCTGGGAAGGTCCTCCCTGAGGACTGAGGGGTCCCCATCCCACACCAGGCGCCCCGCTCAGGGTTCCAGTGCCAGGAAGAGAAGTCCCCATAACTTCTGGCTGGAAAAACCAGCGGGAACAGAGGCTCAGGGAGGTTGAGGCGGCTGGAGCCCCAGGCAGCTCCTTAAAGGGCCCGCGCACGAACTTATCGGACTCACTTCCTCTAAGCTTGGAGGGGAGGCAGCTGGTGGGGCGCCAGAGACATATAGGGAAGAACTGAGTTGTTTGGCATTGGAGCAAGGGCTGGAGAGGGGGCTTTCTCCCAAACAAATGTGCTGTCAGAGGCCTTTGTTCCTTTGGTGAGCCCTTCCCTGGGGTGGCAGACAGCCCCATATCTGGGACTCTAGCAACCTGGCTCATACTGGTTGCCGCTCCCTGGTGATTCCCTGAGGCCCCGCCCCACTCAACTTTCAGGCTCACCCAAGCCGTTGCCAGTTGCTTAACCATAGGAATGGCTTGTCTTGGATCCTGCTTCAGGTTTTCCTAAATTCTTTCAAACAAGCAGCATCTGGTCTCAGCTAACCCCATACCTCTCATTAAGTAATACATAGAAACAAACACAGGGAGGTAGCCAATATGAGGAGACAAAGAAACAGGTCCCAAATGAAAGAACAGAACAAAACCCCAGGAAAAGAACTAAGCAAAATGAACTTAAGCAACCTAACAGATGCTGAGTTCAAAATACTGCTTATAAGGATGCTCAATGAACTTAGTGAGAACCTCAGTGAACTTAGTGAGGGCCTCCAGAGCATAAAAAAGGACCAGTCAGAAATGAAGGAGGCACTAACTGAAATAAAGAATAATTTACAGGGAATCAATAGTAGAGTAGGTAAAGCCAAGAAGTAAACCATCGATTTGGAATATAAAGAAGCAAAAAACACCCAATCAGAACAGCAAAAAGAAAAAAGAATCAAAAACAATGAGGATAGTGAAAGGAGCCTCTGGGACAACTTCAAGAGTGCCAACATTTGCATCTTGGGGGTGCCAGGAGGAGAAGAGAGAACAGAAATCGAAAACCTATTTGAAACAATAATGGCAGAAAACTTCCCTAACTTGGTGAAGGAAACAGACATACAAGTTCAGGAAGCACAGAAAGTCCCAAACAAGATGAACCCCAAGAGGCCCACACCAAGACACATCATCATCAAAATGCAAAAGGTTCAAGGCAAAGAGAGGATCTTAAAAGCAGCAAGAGAAAAGCTGTTAGTTACCTACAAGGGCGTTACCATAAGACTGTCAGCTGATTTCTCAAAAGAAATTTTGCAGGCCAGAAGGGAGTGGCAAGAAATATCCAGAGTGATGAAACGCAAGAACCTACAACCAAGATTACTCTATCCTGTAAAACTGTCATTTAGAATCGATGGCTATATAAAGAGCTTCCCAGACAAGAATAAGCTAAAGAAGTTCATCACCACCAAACCGTTATTATATGAAATGTTGAAGGGTCTTTTTGAAGAAAAAGATAAAATATATGAACAAAGAAAATAACAATGAATATTTATCTATTGACAAGGGAATCTACAAAAAAAATGAACAGGCAGAACAGAAACAATCTCATAGATACAGAGACTATTTTGTTGGTTGCCAGACGGGAGGGCGGTTGGGGGAATGGGTGAAAAAGGTGAAGGGATTAAGAAGTACAAATTGGTTGCTAGACTGACAAACCTCAAAGGGAAGGGGACTGGGGAGTGGGAAGAAATAAACCAAAGAACTTATATTCATAACCAATGGACACAGACAACAGTGTGGGTAAAGGCAGGAGGGGGAAGTGGGGAGGAGGGGATCAATGGGGAAAAATTAGGAACATCTGTAATACATTCAACAATAAAAAAAAAAAGAATATTCATTAATTACAATACACAATATCAAAAAACTGGAGGAGGGAGTCTAGAAGACTAGATATATATTTTTTTATCTGTATACTTATTCTTAAAATTTTTTTAGAGGGAGAGAAAGGGAGAGGGAGCGATAGAAACATAATGAGAGAGAAAATTCAGTGGTCACCTCCTGCATGCACCACACTAGGGATTGGGCTCACAACCAGGGCATGTGACCCGACTGGGAATTGAACTGGCGATCTCTTGGTGCATGGGTTGACGCTCAACCACACTAGTGGGGCTATACTTTTTTAAAAAAATCCTCACCCGGGGATATTTTCTCCATTGATTTTTAGAGAGAGTGGAAGAGAGAGAGGGAGGGAAGGGAAAGAGAAAGAGAGAAAGAGAAACATAGATGTGAGAGAGACACACTGATTGGCTGCTTCCATGCATGTCCCCTAGCTAGGGCCAGAGATCAAACCTGCAACCCAGGTACATGCCCTTGACTCATAATCAAACCCACAACCCTTTGGTTCAAGGGTCCAAGCTCTAACCACTGAGCAACAATGGCCAGGGCATAATCTATCTATATACTCTTAACAAGAGATACACCTAAAATGTAAGAACACAGAAAGTTTCAAAGTCAAATGCAGGGAAAAAGGTACCATTAAGGTACTACCAAATTAGCCCTAGCCAGTGTTGGCTTAGTTGGTTGAGGGTTGTTCCATGTACCGAAAGTTTGCTGATTCAATTCCTGGTCAGGGCACATGTCCGGGTTTCAGGCTCAATCCTGTGTAAGGGACATGCAGGAGCAGCTGATTGGTGTTTCCCTCTTATATCAATGTTTTCCTCTCTTTCCCCCTCTCCCTTCCTCTCTCTCTAAAAATCAATTTTAAAAAAATCTTAAAAGAAAGATATTACCAAATTAAACCCAAATTAGTATCAAAATTAGACTTTAAGGTAAAAAGCATTTCTAGAAATATACAGATAAAAGGGACAATTCTCCAGGAATATACAATTTAGAAAACCTACCTTCATTTAATAACATAGCCTCATAACACACACACACACCCACACGCACGCGCGCGCGGCCACACAGCATAAATTGAAGGACCACCAGGAGAAAAAAGTCCTCAGTTACAACAGAAGATTAATACATTTCTCTCAGTGATAGAACAAGCAGACAAAAAGTGATAGAGATATAGAAGATTTAAACAACTCAACCAACAAAGATGATGGAGTATGTATTCTGCACCCAACAGTTGCAGAATATACTTTCTTTTCAAATGAACACTAAACAATTTTTAAATTTTACCATAGATTTCATGAGAGCATTAGCTGTATTACAAATTAGTTCCTGACATTAATTTTGTGACCAAAATTGTACATATTCTATTACTTCATGAGAAGAAAAAGCAAAGAATTAAAAAAACTGGTTCTCAAGTAAAACAAGTGCTCAAAATTATATCATTTAGAAAAATGCAATGAAAATTTGAGATACAAACTCAGTATTTTTTTATGATTTCAGTAAAGCTGTAGTCTTAACCTTAAGGACAGAAAGTTGCTGTTCATGGCTCCTCTGAATAGTTAAGTGATACAATGTACTAAATTTTCTTCTAAGGTACAATTGTTCTTAGTCCTGTTATCACAAAAGCCTCTTTTATCAACAGAGAATGCTACTGTATGTACTCATATTACCTTTGAAAAAACTCACATATACACTCAAGACCTCTTCAGTTTCCAACAGCCAGATATTTTCAGTAACCAACACAAACTTCACACATTATGATACTATTTTGCTACTACTAAACTTCAGTTTCAGCCTAAATAAAAATATTATATTTTGGGGAACATTCATCTCTTATCATCGATTGTCAAGACAAGACCTCTCATGGACTGAGAGGTTCTGGTTTGATTCCCGGTCAGGGCACATGCCAGGGTTCCGGGCTTGATCCCCAGTAGGGAGCAGCTGATGGATGTTTCTCACATTGATGTTTCTATCTCATCTCTCTCTCCCCCCGTCCCTCTCTCTAAAATATCAATAAAATTATTTAAAAAAAATAAAATATGTCCGGCTGGTGTGGCTTAGTGGTTGAGCGTTGACCCATGCACCAAGAGGTCACCGGTTTGATTCCTGGTCAGGACACATGCCCAGGTTGTGGGCCCAATCCCCAGTGGGGGGGGGGGGGATTGCAGGAGGTGGCCAATCAATGTTTCTATTCTCTCTCTCCACTTCACTTCCTTTCTCTCTAAAATCAATAAAGAAAAAAAAATTAAAAATAAATAAAATAATAAAAATAAAAAAACCCTAGCTAACATCAGCCTTGATGAAAGAATGAATGCTTTCCCTTTAAAATCGGGAAAAAGAAAAGAGATGTCCATTTTTACCACTCTATTCAACACAGTTCTGGAAGTTCTAGCCAGTGCAACAAGGCAAGAAAATGAAATAAAATGCATACAGATTGGGAAAAAAAAACAAAATAAAACCATCTCTTTGCAGGTGAGATGCCAGTCTAGAAAATCACAAAATATATTAAAAACAAAAAAATTACCCCTACTAAAATAAATAAGTTCAGCAATGTTGCAAGGTACAAGATCAATAAGCAAAAATCAATTGCTTTTCTAAATACTAACAAAAACCAAAATCCAAAATCAATACAATATCATTTATAATAGAGCCAAAAAAAATATGCAGTATTATTTACAATTACACCAAAGAAAATGAAATACATGGGTGTAAATCTAACAAAATGGCCTGTATGTTGAAAATGACAAAATGCTATAGAAAGAAATCAAAGGAGATTAAATAACTAGAGAGATTTACTGTATTCAAGGACTGGAAGATTCAACAAGTAAAGATGTCAATTCTCCCCTAACTGATCTATAGGTTTTGTAGACACAGACAAGCTTATTCTAAACTTTATGTGGAAAGGGAAAGGCCCTAAAAATAGCCAAAACAATTTTGAAAAAGAAGAATAGGAGGAATCCTTTTTCCTGATGTTAAGGCTTACCATACATCCCAGACAAGAAAAGGCTTAAGGAGTTTATTACCACCGAAGCAATATTAAAAGAAATGTTCAAGGGACTTCTTTAAGAAGGGAGCCCTGGCCAGTTTGGTTCAGCAGTTAGAGTGTCAGCGTGCAGACTAAAGGGTCTTGCGTTCAATTCCTGGTCAAGGGCACGTAGCTGGGTTGCAGATTCGATCCCTGACCCTGGTCAGGATTGTGTGGGAAGCAACCAATTGAAGTGCCTCTCTCACATAGATATTTCTTTCTCTTTCTCTCTCTCCCTTTCACGCTATCTAAAAACTCAGTGGAAAAATATCCTCGGGTTAAAAGAAAAAAAAAAAAAAAGAACATAAATATGAATAACAAAATGACAATAACTACAAACCTATCAACAATCACTTTATTTATTTATTTATTTATTTATTTATTTTTTATCCTCACCCGAGGACATTTTTCCATTTTTTGTTCAGATAGAGTGAGAGGGAGAGAGAGGAAGAGAGAGAGAGAGAAACATCGACATGAAAGGGACACACTGAGTGGCTGCCACCCACACGACCAACCAGAGCTGGGGACAAACTGCAACCGAGGTACGTGCCCTTAGCGGGAACTGAACCCGGGTCTCTCTGGACCGCAGGCTGACGCTCTAACCGCTGAGCAAAACCGGCCAGAGCTCAATAATCACTTTAAATGTAAATGAATCAAATGCTCCAATCAAAAGATATATGGTGGCTGATGGAATAAGACTTTGCTTGGGGCAATGGACACATGGTGCAATGTGCAGATGAATTTTTATTGAGTTGTACACTTGAAACCTGTGTGGTTTGGCAAACCAATGTCATCCCAATAAATTCAATGAAAAAAAAAAAAAAGATACATAGCTGAATGGATAAGGAAATAAGACCCATACATATGCTGTCTACAAGAGATCCACTTCAGAAAGAAAGATACACACAGCCCTGGCAGGTGTGGCTCAGTAGTTAGAATGTCAGCCCGAGCACCAAAGGGTAGAGAGTTCAATTCCCAGTTAAGGGCACGTACCTGGGTTGCACGTTCCATCCTGGCCCCAATAGGGCACATGTAGGAGGCAACCAATAGATGTGTCTCTCTCTTACATCAATGTCTCCCCACCACAACTCTCTCTAAAAATCAATGGAAATAAATATTCTTGGATGAGGATTAAAAAAAAAAACACACACACACACACATACAGGCTGAAAATAAAGGGATAAAAAAAGATATTCCATGGAAATGAAATAAAAGCTAGGGTAGCAATACTTACATCAGACAAAATAGACTTTAAAACAAAGGCTACATATCTGGAGACAAAGAAGTACATTTCATAATGATAAAGGGATCAATCCAACAAGAGGATATAACCTTTGCAAACATTTATGCACCCAACATAGGAGCACCTAAATATATATAAAGCAAATATTGATGGACATAAAGGCAGTAATGAACTACGGTCATAGTAGGTGACTTTAACAGCCCACTGACATTAATGGATACACTGTCTAAAGTTAATAAAGCTATTCCAGCTTTCTCTGAATTAGTTTTGCATGGCATATCTTTCTCCATTTCTTCAACTTTAAAATCTAAGTCTTTATAATGAAAGTTCATTTTTATAGACTGTATAAAGACAAAAATTGCTTTTTAGCCAATCTGACAATCTTTTTTTAATTAGTGTACTGAGACAATTCACATTCACACTGATTATTGATATATTTGGATTTAAATCTACCATCTTGCTAGTTGTTTTTTATGTAATGGTTTAGATTTTTCCATGTATTCTTTATTCCGCCCTCTCTGGTATTAATTGAGCTTATTTTATGATGCCATTTCATTTCTGTATGTGACATATTATTTATACCTCTTTCAAAACTTTCTTAGTGGTTGTCCCAGGCAATATACATGATTAAATTGTGAGTTCATTTTCAAATAAAATTATACCATTTCATGTGTCATGAAAGGACCTTAACATATATTATCAGTTCCTTCTTCCTATCTCTTGTGTCATTCTTGCCATATATTTCAATTTTACATAGGCTACAACACTCAATACACTGTACTATTATTATTTTTAAAAGTTATTTTTGAAACAATTAAAAAGTAAAAAAAAAACCCTTTTTAAGGTTTACTATACATAATAATCAAGACAGTGTGGTGTTGGCAGACAGACACAGAGATCAATGACACAATAAAGAACCCAAGAGCAAACAAATATGCCCAATTGATTTCTGACAAAGGTGCTAAAGCAATTCAATGGAGAAAGGATACTCAAATGGTGCTACAGCAGTTATATATCCATAGGAAAAAACAAAAATCCTCAAATCCATACAAAAGTTAACTTAGAGTTATGGACTTAAATGTAAAATATAAAACTGTTAGAAAAAAACAGAGGAAAAAAATCTTTGAAATATAGGGCTAGTCAAAGAGTTCTGAGACACCAAAAGCACAATCCATAAAAGAAAAAAACTGATAAATTGGACCTAATCAAAACTTAAGACAGTTGGCTCTGTGAAAAATCCTATTAAGCAAATAAAAATTATTCTTCTACTCTCTCATGCCATCCTACTGGAACATTCAAATAAACTCACCTAGATTTCTAATTCACTCTATAGGAGGATCTGTCTTTACCAAAAAGTAAAACCCAGATGACCAAGAATATCCAAGACATTAGATGAAGAATCTCCGGGTAAGAAAGGATTACTAAAAGCTCTGGTGCACACACAAACATTCTTAGCATATCCCTGGACAAACCTTGGGTTCAATTTTCAAGTCAAAAATATGAATGGAATGATCAATCTGTTTTAAAGTGTATTGGAGCAAAGACTACTTGTAATTTCTTCAACTATCCTATTTATCCTCATTCTCTACCTTCAGGGAACAAAGGACTGTGGTGATTACAGACTCTGGAGTTATAGCAGACATTATGATGTAACCACCCAGATCCCTTCCACTAGTTAAGGACTTATTTCCCAATTGCTGGAGGACAGCCGGGGCAGAGTGTTCAGTTGTCTTTGGAACTGCCTTGGATGATGAGAGTCACCTTGCTGGAGGCTGCACACACCCCCTTCCCAAGATCTAATGACTGGTGCGTGCTGGGATACAAAGGCCTGGCTGGTCCCTTACCCCAATTCTTACGAACTATCTCTGCTAAAGCTCTCTATGGGGTTGGTTGAGGCCTTCACTGAGAATGAATCCTCCCTCTGGTTCAATCCTGCTTTTTTCTCTTCCTTTTTTTCCCTTCCAAAGGTGGTAATCCCAAAAGGACTCCCTAATAAACCTTCTGCATGCTAATCTCTATCTCATTGTTGGCTTCCTGGGGAAACCAAAGTGTGACAGAAGTCAAACGGCTGGAATTCAAATTTTGTCTCTAGCTTTACTGGCCATATTACCTCTAAAATGGGCATTTGCAAATACAGAATCCTTGAATAATGAGGATCGACTGTGTAATAGTTATTTTTTACTCCTCATTTGACCTACCAGCATTTTACACAGTTGACTATCACCTCATTCTTCATTTACAAGATCCCAGTTCCTCTTAATTTTCCTCTTACCTCACTGACCATCCCATTTAATCTCCCCAAATTCCAAATTTAGAAAGCCCCAGAGGAAAATCCATTGACCTCCCGATCATACTTATCCCACAGTGATCTCATCTAGTCCCATGACTTTAATTATATTTATGTTAAATAGATATTGTCCCACAGCTCTCCAATGCTCTGTTGTTTTTCTCCCTACTTTTTTCTCTTTGTTTTAAGTTGGGATAATTTCTATTGACCTATCTTCAAGTTCACCAATTCTTTCCTTGGCTGTATCAAGTCTACTAATACTCCATCTATGTCATAATTAAAAATAAAATTTGTTTGTTAATCCTCATCCAAGAATATTTTTTTCCCCACTGATTTTTACAGCGTGGAAGAGAGGAATGGAGGGAGGGAGTGAGAGAGAGGGAGAGAGGTAGAGATGAAGTGAGAGAGAAAACACAGATGTGAGAGAGACATATCAATCGACTGCTTTCCACACATGCCCCTACCGGGAATCGAACCCACAACCCTCTGGCATTCAGGTTGATGCTCCAACCACTGAGCCACACCAGCCAGGGCTATGTCATTATTTTTATTTCTAGCATTTCCATTTGACATATGAAAATTATTTATTTTTATTTTTGACAGTGGGTTTTTTTTATTTGTACATGTTTCATAATTTCTGCATTAGTATTTAAGCCTGAGGTACACCTCTTCTTCTACTAGCTATTAGTTGGTGGGGTGGGGTTGGAATGAGGTGAGAGGGGGTAGGGATTGAGTTAATCTATTCAGGAATTGAGCTGGGTTTGGGTTTTCTTGTTATGATTACCTAAGTACACTACCAGCTACAAATTCCTCCAGTGTGACCTACTGCTTAGAGTGGAGGCTGGTTTGGCAGAATTTTTCTCCATGTTCTTACTCCACCCTCAGCTTTAGGCTTTCTCTGTACACGTGCCCCAGAGGCTCTTTCCATACTCTTGTCCCTCCCCAGGGGTAAATTGCTGTTGATTTACTTGCTAGCAGGGGAAAGGTGCTCTGTCATCCTGATAGTCTCAAGCCCTACATCCCTGGGTCTCAGTGGGTAGGGCTTTCTCCCAGTAATAGGAAAATTAATGATCTGAACCTAGGACAGTGTCCTGTCCTTCCCTGAGGGTTTATGGATTTTCTTTTTCTTTTCACATCTGCCAGCCACAATGGAAAATGGGATTTATTCCCTTCCCCCAGTAGCTTAAAACTGTTTCCACAATTAAAAGGGGTGCAGGGAGGCTTCCCCTAGTCTCCCTTGCTTCTCCCAATCCTTCTCATGAGCAACTGTTGAAGGTTCTTGGAGAAAAGCCTACAAGTGGGTGTTACATACCCTTGTGTCTGCAGTTCCCAAGGGTTCTACACTTACACTTTAACAATTCATTAAAAATATAGCTGAGCCCTGGCCGGCTTAATTCAGTGGTTAAAGCATCAGCCTGTGAACCCAAGAGTCCCGGGTTTGATTCCACCCAAGGGCACTTACCTTGGTTGTGGTTCGTCCCCAGCCCCGGTTTGGGTTGTGTGGGTGGCAACCAACTGATGTCTCTCTCTCACATCAATGTTTCTCTCCTTCTCTTTCTCTCTCTCCCCCGCCCCCCACTCTGTCTGAAGATAAATGTAAAAATATCCTCAGGTGAGGATTAAAAAAAAATTTATAAAAATATAGCTGAATTCTTCCCCTCTGTACGATAGCCCTGCCTTCTTCCTATCCTCTGCTACTAGTAAGCTATACCCACATGAAACCTCTGATGGATTGAGAGAAGTTATTATTTTGTATATTATAGCTTCTTCGTATTTTAGGGTGGGATCAATCAATACTCTTTCTTTCTATATCCTAAGTGGAAGCCAGAAATCACCCCCATAAGTTTAATACCACCTATATATCCATTTACATTTCTGGTCTGGACTTCTCCTCTGTACTCCAGACCATATATATCCAACTGCCGACTGGAAAAATCTATTTTTATAGTTTGGCAGACAAACTCTAAGGTGGCCCCCATAAATCCCTTCCTTCTGGTGGTCATGTCTTTGTGTAATCCGCTCTCCTTGAGTGTGGGAGGGACCTGTGACTTCTAACCAACAGAATGAGGCAAGAATGATGGGATGCCATTCCTGTGATTATGTTATGTTTTATGACAAAGACATGGGATATCAGTCCCTTGATTATGTTATATTACATGACACTGTATTGCTAGCAGACTCACTCTGTGCAGTCTGCTAGACTCAGATAGAGAGCAGGCTGACAGCTCTGGGAGAGAGGGGAGACAGAGGGTGTGAAGGGTTTGAGCAAGAAAGGGAAAAAAGCCCTGGCCAGTTTGGCTCAGCGGCTGGAGCGTCGGCCTGCGGTACAGAGAGACCTGGGTTCGGTTCCCGCTAAGGGCACGTACCTCGGTTGTAGTTTGTCCCCGGCCCTGGTTGGTCGTGTGGGTGGCAGCCACTCGATGTGTCCCTTCGCATCGATGTTTCTCTCTCTCTCTCTCTTCCTCTCTCTCCCTCCCACTCTATCTGAACAAAAAATGGAAAAATGTCCTCGGGTGAGGATAAAAAAAAAAAAAAAAAAGGGAAAAAAAAAGAACTCACTGACAAGGACAACTGTGTGGCGATTGTGGGGGGGGGAGGGGTGTTTGTGGAGGTGAGAGAGGATATGGGGGGATAAATGGTGATGGAAAGAAATTAAATATACATATATTTCAAAAACGAAGAAGCAAGCTGCCATGCTGTGAACTGCTTACGGGGAGGGCCACATGGCAGCAAATTGAAAGCTATCTCTAAAAGTTGTCAGTGGCCTCCAGCCAACAAAAAACTGAAGCTCTCAGTCCTACAGCTGCAACAAATAAATTCTGCCAACAACCTGAGTAAACTTAGAAAGGGACTGTTCTCCAGTCTAGCCTCCTGATAAAAACCCAGCCCTAGCCACCTTGCTTGTAGCCTGTGAAACTGAAGCAGAGAATCCAGCTAAGACATGCTGGACTCCAAATAAATTGTGAGATAATAAATGTGTTCTAAGGCACTAAATTTGTGGCAATTTGTTTTGCAGCATAGAAAACTAATACAGATAGTATCACAAACTTTACAAGCCAAGTTCATAACTGCTAACATATCCTCAAAAAGTAAAGAAAAATGTGCTCTAGTGTTGTCCATCTAAATAAATGGCAATTCATCAGGCTGCTGTGGCTCAGTGGTTGAGCACTAACCCGTGCACCAAGGGGTCGCCAGTTTGATTCCCCGTCAGGACACATGTCCAGGTTGTGGGCCTAATCCCCAGTGCGGGGCATGCAGGAGGCGGCCAATTGATGTTCTCACTCATCAATGTTTCTCTCTCTCCCTCTCACTTCCTTTCTCTCTGAAATCAATAAAGAAAAAAAAATTTACAAAAAGAAAATGGCAACTCTATTCGTACAGTTTTTCAAGCCAAAAACCATCCAATCAATCTTGACTCCTTTTTTTTTTTAAATCTCTAAAACCCACATCAAATCCCAAAGCAAACACTGTTGGTTTTACAACCAAGTTACTATATGGATACTCTAACTTTATTTCAGTACCACCACTACTACCACATTGGTCGAAGCCACTACCGTCTCTTATGCACTTTCTTTTTTTTTTAGGTTTATTTGTTTATTATTTATTTCCTCACCCGAGGACATTTTTCCATTTTTTGTTCAGACAGAGTGGGAGGGAGAGAGTGAGGGAGAAAGAGAGAGAGAGAGAGAGAGAGAGAGAGAGAGAGAGAGAGAGAGAGAAACATTGATGGAAAAGGGACACATCGAGTGGCTGTCATCTGCATGACCCAACCAGGGCCGGGACAAACTGCAACCGAGGTACACGCCACGCCCTTAGCAGGGGCAGAACCCAGGTCTCTCTGGACCGCAGGCCAATGCTCTAACTGCTGAGCCAAACCAGCCAGGGCTCTTATGCATTTTATAACTGCCTCCTAACTGGTTTTCCTGCTTCCACTTAAGCAGCCAGTGATCCTATTAAAATATCAGTCAGATAATGTTTTTACTCAAAAACTCGAAAGGTTCCTCATTTCACCCAGATTAAAAACCATAAAATCTTTTTTTTTTTTAAATACATGTCTTAAAAAATTTTCTTTAATTGATTTTAGAGAGAAAGGAGAGGAGAGAAAGATAGAAACATGGATGAGAGATAACATTGATTGGCCGCCTCCTGCCTGCCCCCCACTGGGGATTTGGCCCACAACCTGGGCATGTGCCCTGACTGGGAATCGAACTGGCGACCTCTTGGTACATGGATCGATGCTCAACCACTGAGCCACACTGGCCGGACAAAACCCATAAAATCTTACAGTGGCATATTAGGCCTATGTTATCTGACACTCTTCCCTCTCACCCACTCTCTGCTTCATTTTGTATCACTCCTCATTTATCTCTCTTCCACCGCTCTAGCTTCCTTGCTGTTTCTTAACCATGTCAAGCATCTGTCATTCTCAGAGTTTTATAACCACTGGTCCATATAATTGAAGAGGTTATTTCCACAGATAGGACTTCTCTGACTACCTCATATAAAAAGGCAAGTCCCAATGTCCCACCAATAACTCCCTATCCTTTCTACCCTGCTCTAATTAGTTTCCACAGCACACCCTGGGAACTGATATCCATTTTATTGCCTGTCTTCCCAAAACCCCAATGTAAGTTCCATGACAGCTGACACTTTTGTTCACTGCTGTATCCCCAGATTAAACTGAGTGATTGAATAAATACTGCTGTATTAGATTCCGTTTCCTTACAGAATTTAGACAGTCAAGCCACAAGAATATTTTGGATATAAAATCAGTGACGTCTTATTTAAAAACCACTATACAACTGGCTGGTTCAGCTCAGTGGTTGGAGCATCGGCCCACGGACCAATGAGTCGCAGGTTTGATTTCCATCAAGGGCACGTACCTCGGTTGTGATTTGTCCCAGGCCCTGGTTGGGGTCATGCAGGAGGCAGCCACTCGATGTCTCCCTTTCACATTGATGTCTCTTTCTCTGTTCCTCTCTCTCCCTCCCACTCTATCTGAACAAAAAATGGAAAAATGTCCTCAGGTGAGGATAAAAAAAAAAATTGTTTACCATCCAGAAATGTATTTATTTTACTTCACTGTAAATATGGTTCTGAGGAAACCTGGAAAACAGTCATAGGTAACCAAAATAACTGAGATTTATAAGTAAACTAACTGGATTACATTTCTGTGAAGGGCTCAAATAACAGAAAGGTAACTGGAAGACTCCATCATTGTTTTTCCAGCACCATCTGGAGAAGATACTGTTATTTTTCACAGATATAACCAAATAGTAGAGAAAGATGCATCAAGCTTAAAAGAGTGACCCTTTAGGTCCTTGGTTCTCAAACTTTTTGGCTTCAAACCCCTTTTATACTCTTATTAATTACTGATGACCTCAAAGAACTTTTATTTATGTAGTTTTTTATCTACTAATACTTCATTTAAAATTAAAACAGAAATTTGCCCTGGCCAGTTTGGTTCAGCGGTTGGAGCGTCGGCCTACAGACCAGAGAGTCCCAGGTTCGGTTCCTGCTAAGGGCATCTACCAAAAAAAAAATTAAAACAGAAATTTAAAAACTATTTTAACAGTTCATTTAAAGGTAACAACCATGGGTCCGGCCGTTGTGGCTCAGTGGTTGAGCATCGACCCATGCACCAAGAGATGGCCAGTTCGTTTCTCAGTCAGGGCACATGCCCAGGTTGTGGGCCTGATCCCCAGTGTGGGGCATGCAGGAGGCAGCCAACTGATGTCCTCTCTCATTAATATTTCTGTCTCTCTCTCTCTCCCTTCCTTTCTCTCTAAAATCAATAAGGAAAAAAAAATAAGCATGAACCCATTATAACTTCTCATAAATAACATTTTCATTAATATAACTAAAATTCTCTCCCCAAATCAGTGAGAGAAACAACACTGTTATACATTTCTGCAAATTTCCTTAATGCAAAATGGCTGAATTCTTTTACTGCTTCTACATTAAAAATGCTGCCATATGTTGTTTTGGGTGGGGGAAGGAGTATTTTAAAAGTATTTTCAGATAACTGTAGATATTCCTTGATACTACATCAAAATCTGACAGTTTGTAGTTTCTTAAAATTTGTTTGCAATGTACAATCTGAACTTTGTGTATTCTGTTATTATTAAAATCCATTGGTCTCTCTTGCACTCTGAATGGACCTTATATCCACACATGACTTTGTTAAAAAGTCTATAATTACTGGGAAGCTGTCAAGTTCATGATGGTGAATTAAAGTTTTCCAAAGTTCCACTTTTTGCTTGACCACTGGCAACAAATCCTGTCAGTTGTTTCCCTTGAACTGAGTCAGGTGCATGGATCAGACAATTTGAAATTTAAAAACATCAGTTCTGCAATATGCGTGTCTGTTCATTTAAATCCTCCAATAAGCCCTGGCCCGTTTGGCTCAGCGGTTAGAGTGTTGGCCTGCGGACTGGAGAGACCCAGGTTCGGTTCCCGCTAAGGGCACGTACCTCGGTTGCAATTTGTCCCCGGCCCTGGTTGGGTCGTGCGGGTGGCAGCCACTCAATGTGTCCCTTTCACGTCGATGTTTCTCTCTTTCTCTCTCCCTCCTATTCTATCTGAACAAAATATTGAAAAATGTCCTTGGGTGAGGATAAAAAAAATATATATATATATATATATATATATATCCTCCAATGAATATGATTATTTTTCAGATCAACAAAAATATTTTCTATATATCCACAAAAAATCCACTGAACTGAAAATGATTTACCTCCTGAAACTATTAGTGTGTTTCAATTAGTGCAATAAACTAAACAATTTCATTTTCCTTATGCAACAAAATTTGTCTGAAAAAAATCTAAATAATCATGCACCACATAAATGATAACTACTTCTCCAAGTTTTGAAAAGTACAAAGGTATTAAAACAACACTAAACACATTCTGTATAAAAGAAATAATTCTGAATGATCTTGACAAGGTATTTAAATAAAATCAAAAATATTCTTAACTGGCTCAGTATGTTGGCTGGTCCTTGCCTTACCTGTTGAGCAATATGAGAAATATGAGCTCCCTGAACTGTTGAACCAGGCTGAGGTGCTGTCTCTGAAGTGTTTCTCTTGTGGGAATCTTCCATAATCAACTGTAAGGGGAGGAAAAGTCAGTTAAAAGATGCTTTCTAATCATTTTAAAGAAATCTGAAGACATTTTCTTTCTTAACATGTATACTTTTTCAGAAATACAAGACAAAGCTTTTCTATACTATGGGCTGAGCTCAATGTAACCAGACTCAATATGTTTCCACAACTCTGCTCTGGGTATGTAGCAATCTAACTATAAGATCTTAAACTTGGTAAACAAAAAGTGCTATAGAATATGTATAAAATACTGCATAGTCATGTAAAAATTGATAACTTGGTTGCCTCCATTCAAGAGAACTGGGGCGTGGCTTTCTCTTGGGAGCATGCCCTTGTTTTCCCTACCCCTTTTCTTCCCTCCAGGCCATACCTTCTTTGCTTTCTTTTCCCAAAGCTCTAAGGGCCCTTTGTTTTTCTTTTTGTTTTATTTTGTTTTTTAATATTTTCTCTTTATGGATTTTAGAGAGAGAGGAAGGGAGAAGGAGAGAGAGATAGAAACATCAATGAGAGAGAACATCGACTGGCCACCTCCTGCATGCCCTGCACTGGGGATCGGGCCCACAACCTGGGCCTGTGCCCTGACCGGGAATCAAACTGGTGACCTCTTGGTGCATGGGTGGATGAGCCACACTGGCTGGGATTTTTTCTTTTTGTTAATCCCAGTTACCTGAGGATATTTTTTTCAATTGAATTCTAGAGAGAGGGAGGGAGACAGGGGGGGAGAAAGAGAGAGAGAGAAACATAGATATGAGAGAGACACATGGACTGGTTGTCTCCCACACACGCCTCCGATTTGGACCAGGGATCAAACCCACAAACCTTCAGTACTCTGGCTGATGCTCTAACCACCGAGTCACACTGGCCAGGGTGTAAGGGTCCTTCTTTTGCCTCTGTAACTTGTTTCCTGAGCCCATGCATCCCAAATGGCTCACTTCTTCCACAGCTCACTTTTATTTATTTTTATTTTTTAATTAAATTTTTATTGAATTTATTGGGGTGACACTGGTAAATAAATATGTAGGTTTCAAGTATACAACTCAACAACATACAGCTCATTTTTCTACCTCTAGTGACTTTCTAAATAAACTTTCTATTATCAAAAAAAGAGAATTGGTAGTTGTAGTACAGAGAAAGAAAAGACTTTTCCTTGTGTATTCTTTTAAATATTTTGAATTGTGATCCATGTGAACATGTTTAAATTTAATAAATGGCATATATGTAAATCAATTATTGGGACCAAATTTTCAAATGTTATCCCACTCAAGAAACATGATAGTCTTCCTGTCCATGAACATAGCATTCCTTTCTCTAGCCTAGGCAACAGTTTCTAATTGCTCATACAATTTTTTGTTTTTGTTTTTTGTTAATCCTCGCCTGAGGGTATTTTTCTATTGATTTTTAGATATAGAGTAGAAGGGAGGGAGGGAAACATCGATGTGAAAGAGACACATGGATTGGTTGCCTCCTGCATGACCCCAACCATGGCTGGGAATTGAACCCAAAACCCTTCCATCTATGGGTCGATGCTCTAACTGCTGAGACTAACCAGCCAGGGTGCACATATAGTTTTACCAAGATAATTTATTGAGTAAAAGTTGAACTAACTAGATAAACCTATACCTAAGGATGTTCTAAAAAATCTAGATGATCTAGATAATCACCTGCAGGATATGTAAGCTGGGTAAGAATGAGAATAAATTGGTTATATGAGATGAAATATTTCAAACGGAGGAGAACCACTTAGAAAATGACTGGTAAAAATCTTGGGTTTTTAAGACTTAATAAAGAAAAAAAGAGAGGGCTAGCCAGCAAACATATAAAAGGATGCTTAATATCACACTAATCATTAGGGAAATGCCAAGTCAAACTACAAATGAAATATCACCTCACATCCATTAAGATGGCTAATATAAAACAAACAAGCTTTGGCCGGTTTGCCTCAGTGGTTAGAGTGTCGGCTTGTGGACCGAAGGGTCTCGGGCTCGATTCCTGGTCAAGGACACGTACCTGGGTTGCAGGTTCGATCCCCGGCCCCAATGTCTCTCACATCGATGTGTCTCTCTCACATCGATGTGTCTCTCTCTCACATCGATGTTTCTCTCTCTGCCTCCCTCCTTTCTACTCTCTAAAAATCAATGGAGCCCTGGTCAGTTTGGCTCAGCGGTTAGAGCGTCGGCCTGCGGTCCGGAGAGACCCGGGTTCGGTTCCCGCTAAGGGCACGTACTTCGGTTGCAGTTTGTCCCCGGCCCTGGTTGGTTGTGCGGGTGGCAGCCACTCGATGTGTCCCTTCACGTCGATGTTTCTCACTCTCTCTCCCTCCCACTCTATCTGCACAAAAAATGGAAAAATATCCTTGGGTGAGGATTAAAAAAAATAAATAAATAAAAATCAATGGAAAAATATCCTTGGGTAAGGATTAACAACAAAAAAAAGAAAATATGTGTTGGCAAGGATATGGAGAATTTGGAACATCTGTGCACTATTGAGAATGTAAAATAGTGCAGCTGCTATGGAAAACAGTATGGTGGTTCCTCAAAAAATTAAAGATAGAATTACTATTTGATCCAGCAATTCCACTTCTGGGTATATATTCATTAGTTCTGTGAGCTATCTGTTCAAATTATTTGACTAACTATCTACCAAAACTTAAGTGTTTTTCTTATCAGCCTATATTATTTCTTCATATAATTTTTTTTCAATCCTCACTTGAGGACATTTTTCATTGATGTTTTAGAGAGAGAGGGAGAGGAAAGTAGAAGGAGGGAGAAAAACATCGATGTGGGAGGGGAGGTAACCAATCAATTTGTCTCTCTCTCTCCCTAGAAATCAATGAAAAAAAAAATACCCTCAGATGAGGATTAACAACAATAACAAATATCCTATATCAAATGGAAACTAACATGATCAAAAAACAACACACATTTCCTATAAAAGCTGCTAGTCAGCAAATAACATTTTGGACAATTATTACATCTTATTATATTTCCTATGGAAAAGAAGATAGCCTATTTTCTATGATTTTTAAAACAGAGGAGTCAGCTTTCTTTTCCCCAAAAAGAACAGCTTTATAGTTTCATTTCATTATAAACAATCTCTGTATTTTTAACCATGTTATCAGAATATAACCTTTATTTGTTCACTTATTTTTACCTACTATCCCTAAAACTGAGTAAGAGAAACAATCTATTAAAAATTTGATCAACACAATACATTTTATGTGTACAAAGGCACTTAGGTAAGCCCTGGGCAGCAGTTGAAAGCTTTACATGAGACAACCCCAAGTAGGGCAGAATCACCAGGGGCACAGTGAAACAGCGTCAAAAGTGCCATGAATCTGGGGAGTTGAGAAACAGCAGCAGGCTGTGATTGATTTTGCTGATGACATAGTGAGAAATGTAGGTAAAGGCATGACACTTTTTTTTTTTTAAGTAGGGGGAGAGAGAGAAAGAGAAACACTGATTTGTTGTTCCACTTATTTGTGCATTCACTGGTTGCTTCTTATATATTCCCTGACTAGAGATGGAACCCACAACCTTGATGTATTGGGGATGATGCTCTAACCAACCAAACTACCTGGCCAGGGCAAGGCATGGTACTTGAGAGACAACTTTCAAAGAAACAAACATTATGCCCTGGCCAGTTTGGGAAAGAAACAAACATTATATGCTAGATACTAGGAGCTTTTTTATATATTATCTCCTAGATTCCCTAAATTGAGGCTCAAAGAAATTGTCATTTAAAAAAATATATATTTTTAGAGAGAGAGGAAGGGAGGAGGAGAAAGAGTTTCTATAGAAACATCAATGTGAGAGAGAACCATCAATCAGCTACTTCCTGCGCACCCCCTACTGGGGATCGAGCCCACAACCCAGGCATGTGCCCTGACCAGGAATGGAAACGGTGACCTCTTGATGTATGAGTGGACGCTCAACCAGAGCCATACTGGACAGGCAAGCCAGAACCGTTTTAATCCAAAGTCCATATTCTTTTATTCTGCACTGCCCCTCTTCTAGGAATACCCTCACATTGTCCACCTGGCAAACTTCTACTCTGTTTTCAAGTTACATCCCAAACATTATGTTCCCTATTGATCCAGGTCCCTCCTTTCTTAATACTTTCCACTGTGCCTTGCAGATAAATCTAAACTGTGTTTATTGGTATGTCTGTTTCCTTAATCTTTTTTCTTTAATTTTATTTATTTATTTTTTCCCTCATCACCATTTACCCCCCTTGTTTCCCTTAGTCTTAAGGCACCTAAGGATGGGGCTTATATCATGTGAATGTGTGTTCTGTGCTCAGCCAAGACCCCCGCATATATAGTAAATAGTAAACATAAACAAATACAGTGTCTGTTTTCTCTGTTTAATACAGTATTCTCATATGAATGAAGAGGTTCTTAGTTTCCTCACCTATAGAGGATATTGAACTATTATGATAAGCATGAAGGCAAGGTGTCTCTTGCTTACCATTTCTGCAACGAATTCATGATCTCCTCTCAAAATTGCTTCTATCAATCATACTGAATTTCTTTCAAAACTTCAAATGTGCTTGCCTTGCTCTCTATCTCCTTCAGGCTTTCACAAGTTGTTCCCATTCTCTTCATGTGGCCTAATCCTATAAGTTATTCTTCAGGAAAAACTTTCATAACTGCCCTAACCTGGTCTAGAAGCTCTGGCAGTATATATACCCAAAGCACATGTTCCCCCTCTTCTCATGGTACTTATCACAGTATTGTAATTGCCTGCTTTCTCTCCCCACAGAATGCAAGCTCCAGGGAACCAAAGACCACATCCTGTTCCCAATACAGCAGTATAAGACCTTACACATTTATTACTGCGGAATCAATGTGTTTAGTTGGGTTTACCTACTTAAAACTGATAGAAGTGATGGTTAAATAAATATTTAGACAATTACTTCAACCCAGCCTTAGAAACAGAACAATTCAGGCACAAGAAAACATCCTACTTTAGAGTTGGAAATTCATTATAAATAAATGGATGATGACATGTGAAGGAAAAAACAAACCATTTTTAGATGGGACTACCGCCTACTGGTGATATAGTAGTACTGCAAGATGTATCAGAACGAAGGATAACTACAAATAAGAGAGCTAACATTGTTTTGGAACAGAATTAATTCTTATTGAGACACAGGTAACTGCGCATTATAAATCTACAGAAAAAATATCATTGTAATAAAACTGCATATTTCTGTTGGTAACAGAATTCTCAAAATAAAATACATTATGCAAACACAGTGTACACACTCTTATCACAAACCAGGCCAGTTTGACAACGATGCGTGCCCAGTCTACGCTGAAAAAGCCTCAGAAGGGTAAAGACTCTCAATGACTATTATTAGCTCACTGCTCCTCAAAAGCTAACTAGACAATTATCTAACATCTACAATCGTTTAAAAGCGACTGCGCTGTATGCACCACGGCGTAGCTGACACTGAAATACCATGTTTAGTTTTATGACAGGAGGGAAAAAAATCAAAGAAAATTTCCTCGGTTTAATCGTCTGTCCAGTGGCAGACACCCTTTCATTTCACACCCTCCTTCCGAGCTCATACACTGCATCTTTCCGTTACTGTTTCGTATGTCTGTTTATTTTATCGTCTCCCCACTCGACTGTAAACTCTACGAAGGGGAGGGCTGTTTCTGCCCTGCACGGCGAGCCCACCTGGGGCCTGGCACCCCAAGGGCGCCCGTTGTGCTCCCGTGGGCTCCCTGGAGAAGATAACCGGGCCCCGCTCCGCTGGCAACGAATGAACGCCAAGGCCACGCCGCCCTCGGCTCCCCGCTCCAACCACAAGACCTTCCACCCGTGACAATCGCTTAGAGCCGTGCAGGGGCAGTTTCAGAGGCGAAAGCCATCTCGCGGCGCGAGGTCTCCGGTTTTACTTTGATTGGGGACGCAGGGAGGGGAGGAGGAGACCCACCACTGAAGGGAAACTGCGCCGCCAAGGCGCGAGAACCGGAAGCGCGCTCGGACGGGGGACAGCGGGCAAGCCCTCCCCCTTCCGCCGAGCGCCCTCCGCACCCCTCCCCCACCACGGCCGCCGGCGCGCGACCCCCACCCGGCGTGCTACCGGCTCTGCGTCCCCGCAGCGCCGCGTCCCCGCACCTTCCCTCTGTCCGGGGACTCGGGGGCACGCCCCACCCCCGTCCTCCGCTTACCTGTGGCTGTCGCCTTGCCACTCTCCGGGGCGGGAACTTCCACTCCCCCCTCCCAGGTGGATCCGAATTTACTACCTATTTCCCCACCCCGTCACGCGGCGGGGGACGTGCCTCTTTCCAAAGGTCTAGCGGGGCGGGGAGAATCAGTGTCACTTAACAGCCAACTGTCCTAGCCTACCGTTTCCTCGGCAGTCAGGGCCGCCACTGGCGGCATGATCTACACCAGGCCGGGGGCGGGGAAGGGAGGGGGTCAAAACTGAGCGAGCGTGGGGGGTGAGGTTAAGGCGGTGCCTCCGCACAGGCCGCCGTCCTACGTCACCACGTCGAGCACGTGATGCGCCGCCATCTTGTGCTGGGTTTCCTCGGAATGGCGAGCTGGGCTTACTGAAGGAGTTCCTATGGTGAGCGTTGGAGGTGAAAAGTTGCTTGCGACCCCTTTTCGCTTCAGGAGCTCTGCCCATACTCCTTCCCCACGTCTGTTTTCGGAAGCCATCACCAGTTTGGTGGCGACGGGGGACCGCTCCTTGTGGGGCGGTTGTTTGGTGGCGTCGCTCTCAGCTCGGCTCCTCGCTCCCTGCTGGGCGATCGGCCTAGAGCTGTCGTCCCTGGCCTTGACCCATCCTGACCTGTTTGTTTCCGGTAGAGAGAAGTGATTAGAAGCTTGGAGGCTTGTCCTCCTCGGCTTTTTAGTTCACCCAAGACTGATATGAGAAAAACAACAAAAAACCGCAGTGTGCCGGTAAGGGTGTGTCAGGGTGAAGCACAGATTTACCCCAACTGTTCAGAAAAAAGTCACAGTGGACTGTCATAACATAAAAGGATACACCGTCATTTTAATACATTACAAAAACTTTTAAAAATATAGTTTTCAATGTATCTACCTTTCTGGAGAAGGAATTATGTTATTCTGAATTTTTTTTTATCCATTAACTTGCAAAATGTTCTTTTATGACTTTACAGTGATAAATGATAGACCTTTTAATATGCATTTGACAAATTAAAAAGTTTCAGAATGTTTCTGAAATTTTACTAGTTTGAGCTCTTGATTGAGGGAAACTGATTTAGTAGAGTCCCTTCCTGTTTTTTTGTTTTTTTTTTTAAATCCTCACCCGAGGACATTTTTGCACGTATCTTCAGATAGAGTGGGAGGGAGAGAGGAAGAGAGAGAGAGAAACATCGATGTCACATGGACTGGTGGCCACCCACATAACCCCATCCAGGGCCGGGGACAAACTGCAACCGAGGTACGTGCCCCATCGGGGTCTCTCTGGACTGTCGGCAGCGCCAAATCGGCGAAGACCCTCTCCCTGGTTTTAACCTTTAGGGCAAGATAATGTGATTTAAAGCTCAAGAATTACTATGTGCCAGACACTCCTAAGAGGTCACAAATGTTTAGCCATCACCATTCAGCAAACATTAAAAACTAAAATAGGTTGACTGCCCCTATTTAGATTTTTGATTGGGCAAATTGCCCAATCTAAGCTTGTCTTTTTGAGCAAATTGCCCAACCTCTCTAAGTTTATCTTTTCCTTATCAAAGTTGGGAAAAACAGCACTCAGCCCATGTCCCAGCATTTTTTTAAAGAATCAAAATGACCCGACTGGTGTGGCTCAGTGGTTGAACATCAACCCATGCACCAAGAGGGTGCTGGTTCAGTTCCTGGTCGGGGCACATGCCCAGGTTGTGGGCCAAATCCCCAGTGGGGGCATGCAGGAGGCAGCCAATCGATGTTCTCTCTAATCGATGTTGCTCGCTCGCTCTCTCTCTCTCTCCCTCCCTTCCTCTCTCAGTAGAAAAATCAATAAAGAAAAAAATTTAAAGAATCAAAATGTCATATATCATAGTTTTGACAGAATCTGCTTCGTTCCTTCAAAGGCTAATCCTTCCACCTATTCTCCGGATCCCCACCCCTCCTCTTCCTCAGTGACCCCTTATTGCTGTATTTTATTTCTTCTATTTTGAAACTCACTTAGAGTGCCCTATAAAGGTAAGGAGTAAGGAAGAAGTTCTCAGACATCGACCTTTCCTGATTAACAAAGCCCAGTGGAATCCAGAATTTTAGTGGCCGGAAGGTTGGTTCTATGTTTATTGTTCTTTTGTGTTTGTTTCTTCCTTGGAACACAGAATGCTTAACAAATGTTAATTAGGGAGAAAGGGGTGGGGAAACTGAAAAATGTTACCATCAAAAGAAACTAAATTTTACTGAAACCTTCAAAATGTGCATGGGAAAGAAGCAAAACAAAAACAAAATATGTATGTATTGCTCCCTCATTAACTCCTCTTGCATCTGTAAAATGTCTTAAGTCTAAATCAGATATTATATGGTGCAACACTGCCACTCACAAATAATCCCAGAGTCCTTGTTTTTTTCTCATGGAAGTGTCACGAGCTGTATCTACCACTCTGAACCTTGAGAAATAAATGTAAATGAAAAAAAAGTTGATTATGATGCACTGTTCTATCTGAATAGTAGGAGTTTTATAAACCACATAGACTTTTTAAAAAATGTTTTTTATTAAATTTTTTAAAGACAAAGGAAGGGAGAGAGAAATATTTATGTGAGAGAGATACATGGATTGGCTGCCTCCTGCATGCCCCCTACTGGGGATCGAGCCCACAACCCCATGTGCCCTGACTGGGAATCCAACCAGGACCTCTCAGTCCATGGGACACTGCTCAATCCACTGAGCCACACTGGCCAGGCACAAGTCTTTGCTTTTAGAAGTGAGGAAATAAAGAGAAATCTAACTTTCAAGAGCCAAAGGCAATTGTTTTAAAACAAACTGGTCGCAAGCCAGTGGTGGCAACTCTTTGACTTTTGTAGTAAGGAGAGAGAAACATTATAATGAAATGGTTTAATAATACTACCTATCCCATAGAGGTTTGTGGATTGAATGAGTTAGAACCATGCCTGGCGGACTAAGCACTAAATAAATGTTTATCTTTGCAAACTGAGAGTGGAGGTTCAGAAAAGTCAATGAGATCATCAGCTGGGCCTCTACCAACTACGTATGTATTAGGATCTTGCCTCTACATAGTTTTGACAGAATCTGCTTTGTTCCTTCAAAGGCTAATCCTTCCACCTATTCTCTGGATCCCCACTCCTCCACTTCTTCAGTGACCCCTTATTGCTATATTTGGACTTTCCCTCTCTACTGCCTCTTTCCCCAACATAGGAATATTTTATTTCCTCCATTTTGAAACTCAATTTTACAACCCTCTTTTAACTATTATCCCATCTATCCTTCCTATGTATAGATAAAGTTCTGGAAAGAGTACCCTCTCTTCAGTCACACCTCCCATCACTCCTCACCTGAACCAGTTTGCTGTCTTTTCCCTTAATTGCAACTGAAATCATCACTCTGAGCAAGGTCACCAATGGCTGCCTAGATGCCAGATACAGCAAATGCTAGCCAGTCCCCTTTTACTCAGCTTTACTTTACTCATTTACACTTCCTGTAACTTCTATGTCCATGCTTTCTTTCTTTTTTGCTCCTATCCCTCCAGTTATTCTCCCTTTTGTGGACTCTTCTTTCCCCACCAGCCTTGTTTTTTTCTATCCTCATCTGAGGACATTTCTCAACACTTTGTTCAGATAGAGTGGGAGGGAGAGAGAGAGAAACATCGACATGAAAGGAACACATCAAGTGGCTGCCACCCACACGACCCAACTAGGGGGCGGGGACAAACCGCAACGGAGGCACAGGCCCTTGGCGGGAACCGAACCCCGGTCTCTCTGGATCGGCCGATGCTCCAACCGCTGAGCGAAACTGGCCAGGGCCCCCCACCAGCCTTTAAATGCTGCTGCTGTTCCCCATGGCTCCCATTATCGATCTTTTTCTCACTTGACATGATTTTCCTTTTCTTTTTTTTTTTTATCCTCACCCGAGGGCATTTTTCCATTTTTTGTTCAGATAGAGTGAGAGGGGGAGAGAGGAAGAGAGAGAGACATCATTGTGAAAAGGACACATTGAGTGGCTGCCACCCGCACAACCAACCAGAGCCGGGGACAAACCGCAACCAAGGTACATACATGCCCTTAGCAGGAACCAAACCCTGGTCTCTCTGGACCACAGGTCAATGCTCTAACCACTGAGCAACCTGGCCAGGGCTCATTGTTTTTTTTTAAAGAGAGAGAGAGAGAGAAACATCAATGTGAGAGAGAAACACCTTTGGCTGCCTCCTGCCCACCCCCTACTGGGGATGGAGCCCACAACCTGGGAATGTGCCCTGACCGGATATCCAAATAAAACCTCTCAGTCCATGGGACAATGCTTAATCCACTGAGCCCCACTGGCCAGGCTCAACTACCATTTTTTAAAGGATGTCTCCCAAATATCTAGTTCTTGGCAAGAGCTCTCTGAAGGCAGAGACCTATTTGGCTGCCTGTTAGACCTCTTCACTTGCATGTTCCATAGCACTTCAAATAAACGTGAGCAAAACTGAACACAACTGTTCTTTCCAAATCTATTCCTCTTCTATTGTTCCCTGTCTTTTTTTTTTTTTTTTAAGTTAAATAGAAAGTTTGTTAGAGGATAGGAAGATGAAAGTTTACAGTTTTAGATGGGAGGGGTAGTGGAGGGTTAAGGGAAAATTACATTTGAGAAGACCCTCAAGGGGAGGAGGGAGCATTCCAGGCAGAAAAGCAATAAAAAGGAATGAGCAGAGAGGGAGGGAAAGAGTGGGAAGAGATTAGGTGGGAGAGTTAAAGAGGTAGCAGGCCGGTTAGAAGACGCAAAGCTTGTTCCCTGTCTTAGTAAATGGCCCCACATCTACCTAACTCTCCAAGTCAGAAACCTAGAAGTTACTTTGAATTCCCCCTTCATTACCCTGAGTACACAGTAGTTAAAATCTTACTGTCTCTCAAATTTGGAAACACTGTCTCCATCCTGTCAGTGCCTTGAAATGCTCTTGCTTTATTACTGCAAAGAGCTTCCAGCCTCAGGTTTTACCTTCCTTTCCCTACTGATACCAATCCATATTCTTTTTTTTTTTTGGTACGTGCCCCTAGCGGAAACTGAACCCGGGACTCTCTGGTCCGCAGGCTGATGCTCCAACCACTGAGTCAAACCGGCCAGGGCCCAATCCATTTTCTGTATGACTTCCAGAATAATCTACATTGCAAATCTGAGCATTTTCTTCCCTTGCTGTAAATCCTTCATCTGCTCTCTTTGGCCTACCAGATAAAAGTCCAAAATTCTTAGTATGATATACAAGGCCCTTAGTAATCCATCCTTAGCTCAA